CTTTCCGTACCCACTGTATATTGCTATTGTTTTATTGCCCAGGCCTACAATGGATATTAACCGCATCCATTCATGGTTACATTAATTAAAGATAAGACCGGCATGTATAATTTTATTTATTCACAGTTGAATAGACTGTTGTTGTTCCTGCTGACAGACATAACATGACGAATCCCATGTTTGATCTAGTTGGTCATGAGTGCGCTCTCAGGGCAGGACACAGACGGCTCTATATGAAGGGAGCCCATTAAGTATCATGCATCTAAAACTATACAGGACTGACTGAGCGGAGTCCAACTCTGAGAAACAACGGTCTATGAGAAAGGTTTGGATGGCATGTGGGATGGGACAGACACGGGACTCTATTTGTTAAACAAGAAGTCCATATCTGCTTCCTTACATAGAAATCAACCGCTAGACCAGGCGTACACTGTGTGAATAAAAACTACAACCTGGCCGATAAACTAACAAGGCCAATATAAGTCGATGTTAACCGTCACTAAATTATCAGTTTTCTGCAACAAGAGATTCCGATACAAATATTATACATGTTTTAGGCAATGAAGAAACAATGTGGAAACAGACTCCACAGTAGCTGTCAGTAACCAACTCTCTGTGCCTCCTTCAGACTTTTACCCTCACAATGCCTCAGCCAGTTTTAAATGGCCTTTTTGGAAACGCATTACTAAATTAATATTTTACACTTATGACTCATTTTTCTCTCTCCCTCCGGTTGTCATTACACAGTCAGTTCCAACAACATTATTCAAACTTTATCACAGCCAGTGGTATTACAAACACCACGCTGTGACACAGTTTAAAGCACACTAGCTCGACCATGTCCCAGATTCCTGTAAAGTATGCCTGTCTCAACCTGACGTGTCATGAAAAAGAGCCAGCTGGCACCAGTTGCCTGGTGTCGAAATGGTGCCCACCACACACACACAGTCACACAGGCACTTTGCAGTCTGTAGAGTGGTACAAAACTCCAGTTTGGCATCGGTCTGACACTTTAACTAGCCGGCCTCTCAGCGAGATCCAACTCTTACAATCAGCACTCCAATGGAAAACGATTTAAAAGGAGTGACGGTAATTTATTGTTTCCTCTCTACTGTCAAGGTAAAAAAATATATACAGTTCAGATCTTGCCAAACAGTTCAGGAGGCCAGTGACTATGAATTCGGGGGGGCCGGGACAGGAGAGAATAGGGAGAGGAGCAAGTCCGCCAGTATAAGCTTTGTGAAGTTGGATGTTATTTATTCTGTGTTTTGTACTGTTAATATATATTTAAATAACTTAATTAACATCATAAACATTCTCTAGTTTTATAATGTTTCATCCGCTATGCAGTCCTGTTTGTGTGCCACAGTGCATTATAAGAAGCAGCAGTGTTCAGGACTTTAGGCAAACCTGAACCTAATCATGGCCACTGAGGGGAAGTCTTTCTGGTTTAAAAGGAGAAGTTGTTGAAATGAAATTTATGGAAAGGTATGACCTAGTAAATACACAGGTGGCACGATACAAAAACTCCCACTCTTGTTGGACACAGTGTAATCATCAATTCAATCAATCCATTTTTTATCTTGGACACGGGTGAATCTTAAGAGAAAACGAAGTACATTTAGTTACAGCGAGTAGTTTCTTGTCTCACCAGCATACCTCTCCAACAGGGCCGCCTTTATTCCCAGGCTGACACACAGAATAGTTTGATGCTGGTCATATGATGAGGCGAAGGAAGAATAACCCTCTCCCTGAGGTCATTTCCTAGTGCTTATAGAGGGTCAACTCTTATCAAAGCCACAACATTTCCTCTGCCCACCCAGTATTAAGACTGGAATGCCATTCTAGGAATTAAATCAAACGATAACAGGGAGGTATTCCTTTTTACAGTTGTGAAATATTCATCTGGCAACAGGTACGGCAAACCCAAGAGTTGTTGTACTTGGCATGAGTGATTTAAATACATATCAAATTTACAAAAGTGTTCAAAACGTACGCCTCTGAACGCTGCATATAGCTTAAACTACAAACCAAAGCCAGTGTTCAGGATGTAATGACCTGCCGGTTTCCATTCCAGAAATCGAATTAGAGATTATTTCACTAATGGGATACAACCTGAACACAATTAACTGCAATTAACTAGCTAGTAGCAGAAAGAACATTAAATTCAATTGCTCACATCAGTACCTGCAAAGTATCAGTAGTAACAGTATCGAGGGCTTTAAAATGTTCTTAACCGTCCTTTCAGCATGTCTGTTATACGCAGCGGAAACAGGACAAACTGGATCACGTAGACTCACAATACTCTGCACTCATCACACAAAAACATACAAACTGTGTGAACTGTGCCCTCTGTAGTCCTCGCACAGGCATGTTTTCTCAAAATCGAAACATGAACAGAGGCAGGATGCACTGCTACAGTGTAAACAACAAAAGAGAACAATTATTTCCCCACATGTGAAGCAATCACTCCCAAGGTAGTGGGTTCCAGTGGCAAATATATATATATATATA